AAAACATATCATATACAATTATTAGGGATGCTCCGATCGCCAATTTTGGGGCCGATCGCCGGAATCAGTATCGGCCGATACCGCTCTCTTTTCCTCTCTCCCCCTCTCTCTCTCTCCTGACAGCCCGTCAGTATCTCCTGCAGCTCACTGATCCAGTAATGAGTGACCCGACAGTGAAGAATAAATATATTTATAACTAGTTTAGCTTGTTGCAGAGGTAGATCAAATAGCTTAGTGTGTTAGGTCTAACTCTTAATGTGTGTTCTGCTCCGCTCACCGGTCCGTCACAGCGGGTGGAGCTGCAGGATTTCTGCTTCACACACACGTTGCATACCGCTATTTTATTGTCATTTTCGGACACTTAAAATACTGCCAGACTAGTGAAGCCATTTTGGCGAGCTTGTTTTGCCGCGCACAGAGAAAAGTGTCATGTATTTTACATGCAACGATAGCCTAATCTAAAATGCTCTACTCTGGCGTACCTTTCGTGTGGTGTGTGGCGTCAGCGCAGACTCTTGCATCGTTATTGTTGCACACTTTGCAGGAGGCTACTCTTGGGCTTGACCCTCGTCTTAGCCATGGCTTGTATTTGTCTTCTGCTAGCCAACGCTCGTTGAAACGGCAACCTCCTGGCATACTGTCATCTATCACTCTCATCAGAATACCCAGGTCACACACGTAACAAAAACACTTGCCGGTCACGCGCATTGCGCGGGACGGCCGGAAAAGCGAAGCAATTAAGCACGCTCCGACTTCTTTATTTTCTTTTAATCTAAAAAGCGAAGAAAAGCATTTACAATTTCAAGCACTTTATCCCAAATTCAAGCACCATTCCCAAAATTCAAGCACTTTTCAAACCTTGAAAACACCTCGTACAATTTCAAGCATTTTCAAGGATTTCCAGCACCCGTACGCACCCTGTATATTGTACCCGATTTCACTTCTAACGTCTTATGTCTTTAAAATTATTTGTAATGTTTTTATTGCTTTAACTTCTTATGTTTAAATCAATAATTATATTAAACTTTTTATTATGGAAAAATAAAGTAATTTTATTCTGATTCAGGGAATATGCAAACCTATTAGTCTTAGCCATTATGACTACACAGTTGCAGCGAATGCAAGTAGAGTGGATTTATTTTGTGTATCCTGTTCTGCACATCTTTGTTTCAGAGAAAGAGCATCTACACTGTGCAGTCTTACTTCAATACACACATCCACCTGACTCCCACACACACACACACACACACACACACACACACACACACACACACACACACACACACACACACACACACACACACACACACACACACACACACACACACACACACACACACACACACACACACACACACGGCTGCCCCACCCCCAGCCTGGATTCATTCATGGAGACTGATGTTATGTAAGAGCGTTACCCTCCCCCCACAACAGACACGACCTTGCGTCAACCATGGTGTCAGGACAGGACACACACACACACACACACACACACACACACACACACACACACACACACACACACACATTTCTGTACACAGTTGTACTGAATGATAGCAATATTAGTCCTACTGCTCCCTCTAGAGGACAAACAGTACTTCTCCTATACTACAGTTCAGAGGTAAATGGTGTACTTTTACTCCACTACATGTATTTAATACCTTTAGTTACTTCACAGATGTGGATGAATGATGTGAAATATAATCAAGTGTTAAATCAGACTTTAGTTACACCTGGAGTAAATCCACAAGCTACCCTGCAGTATACAAAGTCATTCAAACTAGCTGCACCTTTACCAGCTTTGAGAACACTTTCATGATCAATCATTATAAAACATATCATATATATTATTCTGAAATGGACCAATCTGCACAATGACTACTTTTACTGTCGCTACTTTCACTATATTTTGATGAGAATACTTTTCTACTTTTACTTGAGGAACATTTTGAATGTAGGACTTTTACTGTAACAGAGTATTCCTACACTCTGGTACTTCTACTTTTACTCAAGTACAAGATCTGAGTACTTCTACTTTTACTCAAGTACAAGATCTGAGTACTTCTACTTTTACTCAAGTACAAGATCTGAGTACTTCTACTTTTACTCAAGAACAAGATCTGAGTACTTCTACTTTGACTCAAGTACAAGATCTGAGTACTTCTACTTTTACTCAAGTACAAGACCTGAGTACTTCTACTTTTACTCAAGTACAAGATCTGAGTACTTCTACTTTTACTCAAGTACAAGATCTGAGTACTTCTACTTTTACTCAAGTACAAGATCTGAGTACTTCTACTTGTACTCAAGTACAAGATCTGAGTACTTCTACTTTTACTCAAGTACAAGATCTGAGTACTTCTACTTTTACTCAAGTACAAGATCTGAGTACTTCTACTTTTACTCAAGTACAAGATCAATCAATCAATCAATGTGTATTTATATAGCCCAATATCACAAATGTTACATTAGTCTCAGTGGACTTCACAGTTTGTTCAGAATATCAGTATGACAATAAAACACCCTCTGTCCTTAGACCCTCTGTCCTTAGACCCTCTGTCCTTAGACCCTCACATCGTACAAGGAAACACTTCCAGAGAAACCCCACACTTTAAAGGAACATGGGAGAAACCTCAGGGAGAGCAACAGCGGAGGGATCCCTCTCCCAGGACGGACAGACGTGCAATAGATGCCGTGTGTAAATCAAAGAGATAATACATTTACAGCATAGGTAGACCAAATGTTTGGAAATGCATGTGTCTATAATAAGAAGATGAATCCACGAGGATGTCAACAATCCTGTGGGAGCCATCAGGGAAGTAGTATGATGAGAGTCAGGCAGGACCACAGAGACAGGTTCAGCCATGACTCGAAATTCAGGACTCAGATCAGGACTCAGGACTCAGGATCAGCCACGACTCCAAATTCAGGACTCAGATCAGGACTCAGGACTCAGGATCAGCCACGACTCCGGATCCCAGCGTAGATAGACACCAAAAATAAATGTTGGGGAAGCTGGGTTATTGGGAACATGAGAGTACACAGGTACAGACAGAGAGAAGGAAGAAGTAAGGTGTCCCCCGACAGTCTAAGCCTATAGCAGCTAAACTAGGGGCTGAATCTAATCAGCCCTAACTATAAGCTTTGTCAAAAAGGAAGGTCTTAAGCGCACTCTTAAAAACGGATAGGCTGTCTGCCGCCCGAACACAAACTGGAAGCTGATTCCACAAAAGTGGAGCTTGATAAGAAAAGGCTCTGGCTCCCATTGTACTTTTAGAGACTCTAGGAACAACCAACAACCCTGCATTCTAGGAACGCAATGCCCTAGTAGGACAGTAGGGTATAATGAGTTCTTTAAGGTAAGATGGTGCCTGCCCATTAAGGGCTTTGTAGGCGAGAAGAATCATTTTAAATGCTATCCTGTGTTCTCTAGGGAGCCAGTGTAAGGCAGCCAGAACAGGAGTAATGTGGTCCCTTTTCCTAACTCTGGTTAGTACACAAGCTGCAGCATTTTGAATCAGCTGAAGCGACTTAACTGACTTCTTGGTACACCCTGATAATAAAGAGTTACAATAATCCAGCCTTGAAGTAACAAATGCATGGACTAGTTTCTCTGCATCGCTTTGAGGCAAGATATGCCTGATCTTTGCAATGTTACGTAGATGAAAGTAGGCGGTCTCAACTCCAGTTTGTCATGGATTAAGTCCACAAAGATCTGAGTACTTCTACTTTTACTCAAGTACAAGATCTGAGTACTTCTACTTTTACTCAAGTACATGTATGGTTTTCTATCTGTGTTTTTTATTTATTTTAAATGTATGCACCAAAACACCAAGTCAAATTCCTCGTACGTGTCAACCTAGCTGGTAATAAACCTGTTTCTGATTCTGATTCTTCTGATAAAGTGGTGCTGGGATGTCCTATTTCTGTTTTGGACCCTGAAGGCAGCATATCTCTGGTTCAATGGGACTTCCCCCTGTCATTTCACACCACTCTATTGTTCTCTGGAATAATGAGCAGCATGAAGACACACCAAAGTACATTCAATTAAAGTTAAATATCCTCACTGATTATTCATGTTGACGTAGATCTGACGATAAATCTAATACTCAGAATATTACACACTTAGTAAATACAGTGCACCTTGGTTTATGACATGTATCACATCCACATGGAATATCCCGTGTTAAAAGTATTATTGTGTGTATTATTTTTGTACTATACATACACTCTGCCAGCCTAAGAGGGAATCTCTTTCCTCGATACTCTCACATCCAGAGGTGGGAAGTAGTGGAGTACAAATACTTCGTTACTGTACTTAATTACATATTTCTGGTATCAGTACTTTACTCCACTACTTATTTTTCAGACACCTTTTTACTTTGACTTCTTACATTTTGAACACAAATACCTGTACTTTCTACTTCTTACATTTTGAACTCAAATACCTGTACTTTCTACTTCTTACATTTTGAACACAAATACCTGTACTTTCTACTTCTTACATGTTGAACACAAATACCTGTACTTTCTACTTCTTACATGTTGAACCCAAATACCTGTACTTTCTACTTCTTACATGTTGAACCCAAATACCTGTACTTTCTACTTCTTACATGTTGAACCCAAATACCTGTACTTTCTACTTCTTACATGTTGAACCCAAATACCTGTACTTTCTACTTCTTACATGTTGAACACAAATACCTGTACTTTCTACTTCTCACATTTCCCAAACAGGCTGGTTCCTTTAGTTTGAATGTGTGTTTGGTGGCGTGATCATTATTATTTAGAGTCATTGCGTGCCTATTGATTTGAACACGATCCGTGTATCCATCATTTCCTGGTCTTCTCTAAAGAAGAGGGACCAATGAAAACGTTGTCATGTTGCCGTTGTTCAGCATGGAAACATTCATTAGCTAACAATGACATTATTGTTCTATTAATATAAAGGGAGGTCAGGTACTCTTTAAAACAGCTGCTAGTTATGGGTACTTTTTACTGAAGTACATTTCAAAGTCTTCTTTACTTTGACTTGAGTAAAGAAGTTTAGTCAGTACTTCTACTTTCACCAGAGTATTTTTAAACACGAGTATGTGTACTTCTACTTGAGTAAAGGATGTGAGTACTTCTGCCCTCTCTGCTCACGTGAAACAAAGCATACTTTCTCTTCTCTTACAGACAGTCTATCTCATTTGTTCCAGATCTTTCCGTCCGCTCCCAGCCTCTGGTTGAGTCGGCAGAGCTGCCTCAGGAAGCCGTCGTTGGGTCCGATCTCTCGTTTGTGTCGCACCGTGGCCAGCGCCGTGTGCACGCTCATGCCCTGGCGCAGCATCAGGAAGGCGATGACTAGAGTGGGCGAGCGGCTGTAGCCCTCCCTGCAGTGGACGTACACTTTGCCTGCAGGAGAAGAGAGGAGGGGGTCTTTAAACAAATCAATATGAAATACCCGGTCAACACATAGGGACTAGATTGTCTCCGATTTCAACCCACGATTCCTTTCTACTCAATGCAACCATTTCAACTCTCATCCCTTCATCCATTCACCACAACCTGCATCCCTTCATCCCTCCTTCCCTTCATTCCTTCATGCTTCATGTCTCCCTCCTTTCCTGACTACATCCCAACTTCCCTTCATCCCTACCTCCCTACATCCCTTCATCACTCCCTTCCTACATCTCTTTGACCCTTCCTACCTCCATATGTCCATTCAACCTTTCACCCCTCCCTCTCAAAATCTCTCCATCCCTTCATCCCTACATCCATTCCTCTCTTAATCTATTCATCCCTGACACCCTACATCTTTTTGACCTTTAATCCCTTGCTCTTTCCCTCCTTCCCTCCTTCCCTACATCCTTTCGTTCACCAATGCTTAGGATACAGCATAAGTTCATTAACATTCCTCTGTTTTATTCAGTCTTTGACATCCGCTCACCTTTTCCATTTTTGTACGCCAGCGCTTTCTCGATGAACTCCGCCCCCTCCTCAAAGTAAACGCTGATGTCGAAGTGGTCGGTGTCGCTGGCTGCTACGCCGTGGTACGTGATGTTCGTGCCGGCGTAGAACTCAGCGTTGGTGTTGACGTGCATGAAGGAGTTTCCTTCAGCGGCGTTCAGGATGTGAGTGATGCCCTGACGCTTCAGACACATCACGTTCATCGCCACAAACCTGCGTCAAATGATAATTAAACAAATACACACAAACATTTATTTTACACATTAAAGAGGACATTCTACTCATTTCCAGGTGTATATCAGTATGTAGTGTCTCTACTTTAAAGAGTCCTCTCCTGCTGAGGTTCAGGTGTATATCAGTATGTAGTGTCTCTACTTTAAAGAGTCCTATCCTGCTGATGTTCAGGTGTATATCAGTATGTAGTGTCTCTACTTTAAAGAGTCCTCTCCTGCTGATGTTCAGGTGTATATCAGTATGTAGTTTCTCTACTTTAAAGAGTCCTCTCCTGCTGATGTTCAGGTGTATATCAGTATGTAGTGTCTCTACTTTAAAGAGTCCTCTCCTGCTGATGTTCAGGTGTATATCAGTATGTAGTGTCTCTACTTTAAAGAGTCCTCTCCTACTGATGTTCAGGTGTATATCAGTATGTAGTGTCTCTACTTTAAAGAGTCCTCTCCTGCTGATGTGCAGGTGTATATCAGTATGTAGTGTCTCTACTTTAAAGAGTCCTCTCCTGCTGATGTTCAGGTGTATATCAGTATGTAGTGTCTCTACTTTAAAGAGTTCTCTCCTGCTGATGTTCAGGTGTATATGAGTATGTAGAGTCTCTACTTTAAAGAGTCCTCTCCTGCTGATGTTCAGGTGTATATCAGTATGTATAATCTACTTTAAAGAGTCCTCTCCTGCTGATGTTCAGGTGTATATCAGTATGTAGTGTCTCTACTTTAAAGAGTCCTCTCCTGCTGATGTTCAGGTGTATATCAGTATGTAGTGTCTCTACTTTAAAGAGTCCTCTCCTGCTGATGTTCAGGTGTATATCAGTATGTAGTGCCTCTACTTTAAAGAGTCCTCTCCTGCTGATGTGCAGGTGTATATCACTATGTAGTGTCTCTACTTTAAAGAGTCCTCTCCTGCTGATGTTCAGGTGTATATCAGTATGTAGAGTCTCTACTTTAAAGAGTCCTCTCATGCTGATGTTCAGGTGTATATCAGTATGTAGTGTCTCTACTTTAAAGAGTCCTCTCCTGCTGATGTTCAGGTGTATATCAGTATGTAGTGTCTCTACTTTAAAGAGTCCTCTCCTGCTGATGTTCAGGTGTATATCAGTATGTAGTGTCTCTACTTTAAAGAGTCCTCTCCTGCTGATGTTCAGGTGTATATCAGTATGTAGTGTCTCTACTTTAAAGAGTCCTCTCCTGCTGATGTTCAGGTGTATATCAGTATGTAGTGTCTCTACTTTAAAGAGTCCTCTCCTGCTGATGTTCAGGTGTATATCAGTATGTAGTGTCTCTACTTTAAAGAGTCCTCTCCTGCTGATGTTCAGGTGTATATCAGTATGTAGTGTCTCTACTTTAAAGAGTCCTCTCCTGCTGATGTTCAGGTGTATATCAGTATGTAGTGTCTCTGCTTTAAAGAGTCCTCTCCTGCTGATGTTCAGGTGTATATCAGTATGTAGTGTCTCTACTTTAAAGAGTCCTCTCCTGCTGATGTTCAGGTGTATATCAGTATAGTAGTAGTAGTAGTACAAATCCTGTTTCAATCACATTAGTATGCATAAAAAGTGACAGGTCACACCCCCCACTAATTATGCTAATGAGCCCCTTTGATATGCTAATGAGCCCTTTTGTTCGAGGTGTTATCGCGTGTAGGTGTGATATCACAGATAGGTGTGATATCCTTTGATGTGAGGGGGTGAGGTGTTGTAACATGTAGGTGTGATATTCCCCATTGTAGTAGATCCTTTGTTGTGTAATCTAATTAGCCTTTGATGTCTGACCCTTTGATGTCTATCCTTTGATGTGAGGGGTGAGGTGTTGTAACATGTAGGTGTGATATTCCCCCTTGTAGTAGATCCTTTGTTGTCTAATCTAATTAGCCTTTGATGTCTGCCCCTTTGTTGTCTAATCTAATTAGCCCTTTGATGTCTATCCTTTGATGTGAGGGGTGAGGTGTTGTGACATGTAGGTGTGATATTCCCCCTTGTAGTAGATCCTTTGTTGTCTATCCTTTGATGTGAGGGGTGAGGTGTTGTGACATGTAGGTGTGATATTCCCCCTTGTAGTAGATCCTTTGTTGTCTAATCTAATTAGCCTTTGATGTCTGCCCTTTGTTGTCTAATCTAATTACCCTTTGATGTCTGTCCTTTGATGTAAGGGGGGTGAGGTGTTGTAACATGTAGGTGTGATATTCCCCCTTGTAGTAGATCCTTTGTTGTCTAATCTAATTAGCCTTTGATGTATGTCCTTTGATCAGTGTTTGTAACTAGTATTAAGACAGTCTCTTTGAAGTTGTGTGAGACTGTCTCGCACCCCGTCCTCCTCCCACCCCGTCCCCCTCTCACCTCTTCTGTCACCCCCCTTCCTTTTGCTGTGATGTCAGAAGATAGAGGTGGGGTGGAGTTAGGTTAAAAAGAAATCCGTGCAAACTAGATAAAAAGCCAGTCATTTCCACTCACCAAGTCACCTAAACTTTCAAAAACGAAAATGGCAAAGAGACGCATCGATATGGGTTTAATCAGCGAGACGCCTGTGACAACTTACCGCCATCCGTCGGGAGCTCCAGTCAAGAAACGGATGCAGTATCTGTGCCGGGTTCAGACCCTCCGTCTGAGGCTCTTCATGAAAAATGGAGTCTGGATGTGTGAGACTGTCTCCCCTCCCTCCCCTTCCACCCCACCCCTCCACTCCCCCAGCCGGTCTCCTCCTGATTTGGCTATCAGCCATTAATTTTCACTCACCAAGTCACCTAAAACTTTTATTGTCCTCTCTAAATTAGATTAGTTTTAATATGATTTGTGTTAACTATGGATGTTCTCTTAAGTTGTAGGGCTTGTGAACTAATGTTTAATTATTTGACTAACTACAACAAAGTCTCTTTGAGAGGAAAATAATAATTTAAAGATCTTAATGACCCCTTGATCTTGTCTTTTTATCGTTTAATTACTTTATTAACTATAAGGAAGATTTACTGGTATGCTTCCCTAGATGATGTAAATAGTCCAAGTGCCGTGTTAGGGGGACATTACGGAACTCAGGAGTCCGCCCTTTGAGGCGTTGTTAACATTAATGCTTTTTGCTTTTGTTTTTGTTACTAAGATACTTTTAAGCTACACTTTTGAAGTGAGCAATACTTTACAACTGGTAGAAAGTTAAGTACTTTGTATGGAATTGGGTTTTCTTTTAGAGCTGTTTTCAGTGAGACAATGCAGTTTCTGATCATTAAGTTTTCAAGTTTCAAGGCTTTATGGCATATGCCCATTAGCTACAGTGTAGATATGTCAATGAAAAACATAGGTCACAGGCTCCTCCAACTGTGCAACAAATATATATATATATATATATATATATATATATATATATATATATATATATATATATACATATAGAGCACATAAAACAGATAAAATACTGCAATAGAGTGTTTTGATATGACAGATTTGTGCGTAATTCTCTCACAAAGGAACTGTAAGATACACGTTTATGTATGGAAAACTTTATAACTTGGTAAAATATTCATTCATTTGTAATGAATTACTTGACTAACATTACTTTTTTTAAATATATGTTTTTAGATGCTTTACTTTTGATTTCTTTCATGTTATTTTAACACAACATTACTTTTTTCATATCTTTCAACATACTGTGATATTTGTTTTTTCTCTCCTTTTTCCATTATATTTTTGAATATACAGTGATTTTTATCAAAATACAACATGCAACTATTACATTATACAATATTACGACTTTTTGCGATATTTTCAACACAATATACTTTTTTGTAGGGCTTCAGGATATTTGGCATGTCATGCATAAAACCGGTGTCATCTTTCCTGAAACTGACGTGCTGTCCGTTTTACAAAAAAGTTATCTTTCTGCTTCTTCACCCTCTGAATTTTCCTCCCCCGTCCCTCTTCCTTCAGCCATCACAACAACAATCAAGTCAGATCTTTGAAATTAAACACCTCTTCCTAAAGCGTGACTTCCCTATTGAGGGAGTGGGGCAGTAGGGCCTAACCCGATTGGCCAAATATACTAACATGCAGAACGTATGGTATGTTTGAAAAAAGACGAACCATCTATCCAGTTCAAGCTGTCTTTAAGATGTGACATTGCGCTCTGACTTTTTCCCCGTAAAATCGTGACAAACTATTACTTATTCTTAAATTTGACCTCTTGCTGCTTGGTTGAAAAATGATAGATGAAAAATAACTTTTTAAAAAGAGTCAAACAGCGAGGGACATTATACGGGTGAAAGAAACTCTCATTTCTACAGATGACTCCCCCCCCCCCCCCACTCAACGCAATAAGTCCCACCCCAATCAGCAAATCATCCAAAACTAAGGACCCCACTAAGACGACCGTTGAAAACTAGCCATGGATATGAGAAAAACCAAGTCTGCTGTAGCCTACCCTTATTATCACCAGGATAACGGATATGGGCTTAATGACTGGATGTTACAAAGTAAGGGAGAGGATGTTCCCGAAGAAGAGCTTTCCTCTATATCATATCCATGTAAGGTCTTTAGGACAAAAGAGGACTATGATAAAATGACATATGAAAAATATCTTTCTTTAAAAGATGGTATTATAGATAACCTTTATAGAAACAATATATCTCATACAACTCGCCAAGATCGCAAACGACAATTAGCAGAAAAGAAAAGCAAAAGTAAAGAAAACCGAAGAAAAAGAAAAAGAAAAATGAAAAGGAGAAGAAAAATGAAAAGCAAACGCAGAATGCGAATGAAAAGAAAAGGGACAATAGGACGGAAAAAGACAAAAAGAAGGAAGGTGAAAAGAAAAAGGAACAAAGTGAAGACATTTCAACTAACTATAGAGGATGCTGATAGTGTTGTAGAGCCATTACCGGATCATAATAATCTTATAGATCATCTACCGCTAACCGACTGCTGCGAATGTGTTGAACAAATACCAAAAGCAATGGCAGAGCTTTGCTTCAATATAATGAGAGAAAAAGCACGATACTGTGGAATT